TCTTAAGCGAAATGATAATTTCAAAATTAAAAAAGTGATAATTTTAAAATTCAAAAATTTTCTGTTTTAGTTTAAACTATAAAATATTCCTTTTGCTAAATGTAAATGTTGAAAAAAGTTTGAATTTTCAAAAATTTTCTCATCAATTTTATGAAAATAATTATTCATTGGATAGAATTCACTATGTGATAGTAAAGATAAATGATAACGGAAGAGATTCATTCCCCAGATATTGAATTCACGATGATAATAAAAAGCAAATGTAATATTGTGGGAATTATCCTACAATATTAAATTGCAATATCGGGAAGAGAAAGGTGGGTTTCAATACGAAAATAAGAATCAATAATGATTATTGGGTATTGAGCCGCTTGAAATAATATATAATAATAATCGACTAAAATCAATGGAAACAAATAAAATGATGAAGACAATAATAACGGCGATGATGATGATGATGATGATGATGGTGATGTTGAGTTGGATGTATTTCAACCGCATCGATCGTAAACGATCCATGTGGGGAGGGTCACACAACTCATCTGTTGTTTGCATTTCCTATTTGCCCTTTCTTATCCTTCTTTACTCCTTTCTTTCTCCTTCTATCCAATTAAATTTAATTCCAATTAATTTCATCAATAAATGTTTATCCATACATTATCTTAAATCGAATTAAATGGTGAAAAAGAATTATACAAAAAATATTTGAGATATTAGCAGAGTATGATATCATTATTATCATATCTTTTATCATATCAAAATAATTCATTTCATATTCTTTTTCTTTTCTTTTATTTTTATTCCTAAAAATTTCAATATAATATAAAATAAAAAATTAGATGAAAAGGATAGCAATAAAAATATGATAGTTTTAAAAGTAAGTAATTTTGAGAAAACAATTTCAAATGATAAAATGAAAAGTTTGTTGAAAAGAAATTCAACAACTCACTGCCTTATCATTTTCTATCTGTTATTATCTTAAGCTCATAAATCATTGATAAGTATTATATCATTTCTCTTTTTTTTCTTTTCCCAATTAAATTTAATCCATTCATAACTTTCGTTTTAATCAATATTTTTGAATTGATAAAATTTTAATTAAAATTTGTTTTTCCCCATAAAATTAAATATAAAAAAAAAAAATGATTAAATGGATTGATTAATTTAGGAAGGCGAAATTTTTTCAAATATCTTAAAACAATAATCAATCTTATCACTTATTATTTCATTTCTTTCCACACACACACACACGTATATATACACGTACGTACGTGCACACACACACAAACACACGTAAGCACACGCGCACATATAAACATACACACGTAAGCACACGCACAGACAGTATGTATATACGTGTGTGTGTACATGTTTGTTCTTAATATACATACGTATATACACACATGTAGACACACGCACGCACACAAACATACACACACATATATACACACATGTACGAACACGCACATACACACACAAACATACACGTGTATACACATGTAAGCACACGCAAGCATACACACACGTATACACACGTAGACACACACACACACACACACACACAGAAACATACACACACACACAAGCATACCCGCATATACAGACATATACAGACATAAACAGATACAGATACATACATACACACATATCAACAACATAAAAATTTTGCTTCAAAATTTAAAATTAAGCTATAACAACAATTCAAAGATGTAACTAATAATTCAATCAAAATAATAAATGAATTAGTTATTGATGTATGCATGTATTATTAAACTAGTTGTTTCAAAATTGTTTACAGCTAAGAAATTTTTGGGATGAAAAACAAATGAAAAACGTATGTGTATGATCGATCTGTCATGAAATATTATCAACAATCTAATAAGCCATCATTTTCATTCATTCATTCATTCATTCAACGAAAAAGAAAAATTCACAATTGGAAAAACAATTCTTTGAAATTCATTTCAAATATTGTAATTAATTCATTTCGATATTCAATTCTTATTTTTATTTCTTTTAATTTTTGATTATTTCCTAAATTTAAAGCTATTTTTTTTCTCATTCATTCCTTTTGTTTTTCTATTTAATAAATTTATTTAAACAAAGTTTATTTGATTAATTTAATTTAATAATTGAATAAAAGTTTATTTGATTGATTTAATCAGTTTATCAAAATTATCAAAATTAGTTTTAAAATTAGAACAATAGAATTTGTAAGCAAAATAATTTGATATATTCAATTAATTCATTGTAATATTTAATTCGATTATTTATAATTCGAGAAATATTTCGATAATTAATTTAAACAAATTCTTTTCAAATGATTGTTTAAAAATTCTAATTGTTTTTATCGATAATTAATTGCTATCATTTCTTCCTCTTTACACTTTAATTTCTGTTCTATCAATTAGAGTGGAAATTTTTCATCGATTCATTATTAATTTCATTACCCATCCATTTCTTTCCACACACATACCCACCTTCCCTACCAAATCACTTCCTTCCTCCTCTTCTTTTTTTATCATTTCCTCCTCTTCCTTCCTCTTTCCTCCTCTTCCTTTCTCATTCCTTCTCAATAACATCCGACGAAAGAATTTTTCAACATTTTGTATCCTCCGAAATGTTGCGATATGTGGTCGATGGATGTATCGATGATAATGATGACACTACAAATGATGATAATTGTTGCGATAAATGATTGGTGATAAGAGCATTAAAGTACTAACAGTTTAAACCAATTGCTAAATAATATTTCATTTTAAAAAAAGAAAAAGTTTGCCAAGAAGTTTTGAAGAAGAAAAAGTATTTAAAATAATATTGATGAGAGGAAAATTAAAATGAATTGTTGTTGTATTGCAATGAAGAAAAAGCGCAATTATCATCCGATCGCCCCCCCCGCCCTCCTCTTTTTTTAATTCCTACAAAATTAAATAATTTAAAATGAAACGTCGAAAAATATTTCGTTTAAAGTAAGGCAATGAAAATTTGGGACATTTAACAACGAATAATATTTTTGTTATATTTTCAACTAATTTAAACAAAAATAGTAAGAAGGAGAAATTAGGAATGATTCATTTAGTCCTCTTTATTGAAATTGAAATAATTCTTCAACAAATATAAGAATAAATTAATTTATAGAAATATTTGTTGTAATAAAAGAAATGGAATGAATTTAAAAAATATTTTTAAAATATTATCGATCTTATTGAAATTGTTAAATTTAGGATGAATAATGAGTAATTAATTTCTGTGAAATTGTTAAATTTAAAATCGATAATGAATAATTAATTGATTTCTATAAAATTCTTAAATTTAAAATAGATAATTAATAAATGATTGCTATGAAATTGTTAAATCTAAAATCGATAATGAATAATCAATTGATTTCTATAAAATTCTTAAATTTAAAATAGATAATTAATAATTGATTTTTCATGAAATTGTCAAATTTAAAATCGATAATGAGTAATTAATTGATTTCTATAAAACTTTTAAATTTAAAATAGATAATTAATAATTGATTTTTCATGAAATTGTTAAATCTAAAATCGATAATGAGTAATTAATTGATTTCTATAAAACTTTTAAATTTAAAATAGATAATTAATAAATGATTACTATAAAATTCTTAAATTTAAAATCGATAATGAACAATTGATTTCTATGAAATTTTTATAAAAATTTATATTTCATTTCAATTTATAAAATGAATAAATATATTATATAAAATTTTAATTGTCGTAAATATGTGTTTAAATCCGTATCGGTAGGATAATTTATTTTAACTATAATTGTATTTAGTAATTAAAACTAATAATTAATAATAATAAATTTAAAATAATAATTAATAATAATAAATAAAAAAAGCTAAAACTTTAAAGAAGAATGATTTTTTTCTCAGTTTACTGAAAAGGTTGTTGTTCTCTTTTTCCGTTTTCCATCCTTCTCAACTTTTCCATTACTTTACATTTTTCATTCACTAATTGTTAATTTTTAAAAACAAAAGAAAAGAAAACAAAATTGAAAAGATATTTTGCACAAAGTAAAAGACAAAAATATGAACTATTAGTGTAATTTCATTAAAACATTCATAAATCACAACCGAAAAATTTTCCGTTTTTTTTAAATGTGAAAAAACGGAAAACGAATATTTACTGATTAATAGAAGAAAATCCGGAAAAAGTAAAAAAAAATAAATAAATCAGTGAAAAAAAATTATTGTACGCAAAAATAATTTCAAGGACACACAGAGACAGACAGACACAGACAGACACACACACACACACACACATCCATTCGTTCATTCTGTTTAATTTTAATTTTGATTTATTGAAATTTAAACAATTTTTACTTTACAACAAAAAAGTTTTCAACGTAAGAAAGAAAAATAATTATTTACCCAATTTTCATTCCTTTTTTTTTCAACCAAATGAAATTTAATGATATATTTCATTCCGGATTTGTATGAATCCGGAATGAAAAAATACTGAAATATGAAGTTATCTTTAATATTCTCTCTTCTCTCTTGTTGTCAAATATCTTTTCTTCGTCTTTTTCACATTTATTTTAAAATTATAGGTGAATGTCAAAAAATAAAAAATTTGAATACAAATTGGAAATGTTTAATTGAAAATGAAAAATCAATAAAATGATAAATGTATGAAATAAATGTTTGAGATTTTAAAGTTTAAAGAAAAAAAGGAATATTTGAAACTTTGAGGGTTTAAAGAGAAGAAGGAACATTTGAAACTTTGAGAGTTTAAAGAAAAAAAGGAATATTTGAAACTTTGAGGGTTTAAAGAGAAGAAGGAATATTTGAAACTTTGAGAGTTTAAAGAGAAAAAGGAAAGAGAAAAATGAAACGATTGGTTTTTCATGTAATTTTACCATTAAAATTAATAGTTCAATTTTTGATTACATCATTGAAAATTTCATTCTCTTTTTTGTTTCATTCAAAAAAATGACTAACTTTTTTTTGTATGTTGGAAATAAGGAAGAAAATGCATTCGAATACTATTCTAATAGATGACAACAACAATAACAACAACAACAACAACAATAACACAGTAACAACAACAACAGTAACAACAACAACAATAGCAACAGCAGCAACAGTAACAACAACAACAACAATAGCAACAGAAGCAACAGTAACAACAACAACAACAATAGCAACAGCAGCAACAACAACAACAATAACACCGTAACAACAGTAACAACAACAACAACAATAGCAACAGCAGCAACAACAACAACGACAACAACAATAACACAGTAACAACAACAACAGTAACAACAACAACAACAACAATAACACAGTAACAACAACAGTAACAACAACAACAACAACAACAGTAACAACAGCAGCAACAACAATAACAATAACAATTAACCAGCAACAACAGTAACAACAGCAGCAACAACAGTAACAACAGCAGTAACAACAGTAACAACAGTAACAACAGCAACAATAGCAGCGACGATAGTAACAGCAACAATAATAATAACAGCAACAACAATAATAACAACGAAAAACGAAATATTAATAAGAATGAAATTTTTTTTTCTTAATAGCAAAAATATAATTAAATGATTTCATTCATTTTTGATATCATTTAAAAATGAATGAATTTTTACCATTCTTAATGACAGCTATAATTGTGTATTGTTTATGTGAATGATTTAATTCATTCATTTTTATAAAATTGTAATTCGATTTTTTCTCTATTTTTATTTTCTTATTTTCTATTATTATTTATTCAATAAAAATTTTATAAAAAAGAAAAAATAAATTATTAATTTCTTTTTCTTCTAAATTGCAATATTTAACGGCGCAATTGTCCATTTTCTTTTTCAATTTATTTTCCAAAAAACATTATAGTAATATTTAACGGCGCAATTGTCCATTTTCTTTTTCAATTTATTTTCCAAAAAACATTATAATAATATTTAACGGCGCAATTGTTTCAATTTAATTGTTTTCCAAAAAAAACACTATAGTAATATTTAACGGCGCAATTGTCCGTTTTCTTTTTCAATTTATTTTTCAAAAAAACATTGTACAACTCTATCTCTCTCTCTCTCTCTCTTTCTTATTCTTTCTCTTTTTCATCCTTATTTTTTCTTGAATTTGATATTTCTAAAATGATGACAGAACAAAAATTTGTTATCATTCTTTATCATTCGTTATCAAATTATATTCATAGGATTTCATTTTCAATTAATTGATATCTTTTTATCATATTTTATCTTAATTAATTCAACAAGCATATTTTGAAAAATAGTAAAGGTTATTGTTTTTTTGTGAATAAGAAATAATAAATTTAAATATATTAAAATGTATTCATAAAGAATGCAAAGCAAAATACGGCTAAGATTAAATGCTTAATGCAAATGCAAATGAAATGGATCGTTTAATTTTTTGTTTGAAATTTAATTACTCAAATTATTACAACGACAATAATGATTTCTTTTTTTTTGATTTCTAATTAACTCATTTATTTTCTTTCTCTTTTTTAATTGATTATTTTATTCAAAAAAAAGAATAAAACAGGTCTGAAATTTGGAATGAATTAAGAAAAGCATTACGAATATTTTATAATATTTAAATGAAAGGAATTTGTTGATAATTTAAAAGCTGAACGGATTGCAAAGTTTTCCGGTTCTATTTAATCATATGCTTGTTTACGTACACACACACTTTTGAAGATAATTTAAAAGCTGAACGGATTGCAAAGTTTTCCGGTTCTATTTAATCATATGCTTGTTTATGTACACACACATTTTTGAAGATAATTTAAAAGCTGAACGGATTGCAAAGTTTTCCGGTTCTATTTAATCATATGCTTGTTTACGTACACACACACTTTTGAAGATAATTTAAAAGTTGAACGGATTGCAAAAAAATTTTCCGGTTCTATCTTAATCGTATGCTCATTTACGTTACACATGCTTAGAATACGCACATTTTTGAAGATAATTTAAAAGCTAAACGGATTGTAAAAATATCCGGTTCTATCTTAATCGTATGCTTATTCACGTTACACACACACAGACACACACACACAGACACACACACAGACACAGACACACACACACACAGACACACACACTTAGATGAAATTACGACGTTTTGTTTCATCGAAAAAGATGAATGTTTTGAGAGATAATTGATTTTATCTCTCAAAAATTTCGATTTAATATCACAAAAAATTTAATAAAAAAAATATATTTACGATTCTTTATTTACGCTATCTAACAATCCTTTCTCAAATTGTTATTTATTAAATGAATGTGAGAAATGAAAGAACCAACCGGCTGGTAACTTCGCCTTTTTTTCATTCAAAAAATTATTTGAAGTTTATTTATAAAAAAAAAAAAGAAATACAATTCATTTTTGTTCTTTCGTTAAATTTCAATTCATTTTTTCAGATTAAACTTTATCAATGATAATTGATTGCATTGTTTCAATGCTTTGTTTTTCTGTTTTATAAATTTAATTATATAATTTTTTTTTTTTTAATTGAAAAATTATTATAGCAATAAATTAAAAAAAGTTATCATTTATTAATTATTTTGATCAAAGTTTTAGATTTTTTTATAATTATATAAATTAATACGATAATGAAATAAAATGTAAAGTTGTAGAAGTAAGCAAATTTTACAAAGCATTTTTCCTTCTCTAACAACAACGAGAGATGTAGGAAAAAGTTTTAATTAGAAAAAGAAATTATGCAAGAAAAAAAGAATTGGAAAACTTTTAAACAATATTAGGATAAGAATTTAAGCAGATAGTATATGAATGGATTGGATGGAAAAAGACATCTGGTGGGGATAGGAAGTCATAAATATAATATCCCCGTATGATTGTGGAACAAAAATATTTCCCGCATAAATATTTCATAAATGTTGAATAAATATTTCCCGCAGACAATTCCCGATGAAGATAACATCTGGCAAATGGATGAAATTACAAATGATTTGTTATATAATAAACTGATTGATAAGTATAAAGTTTGCGAATTTTCAACAGATAAATTTGTTTATTTTATTTTTGAAACATATCATAATTCATTTGTGTATTTGCTAATTATCATTTTAGTATGCTTAATTAGAAGTGGAAATTGTTTAATTTACATTTCTGATTGAATATCTAAAATTAGCTTTATAGTTGTCAATTGTTGAAATTTTCTGCAACATATCTATCTTTTCATCTGTTGCCAATTAAGGATTATGATAAATTAAATCGCTGAAATTTAGCAAAAAAGTTTGAGATATTTTGCAAATCTACAGGTATAAATGATGATGAAATTTTAGAAAGTATTAACAAATTTTAAATTTATTCAATTAAAAACACATTTGCGTTGAATCCAAAGTTTCATATTATATTATACTATTATTCATATTGCTATTATATTATATTGTTATATATTATGTTATATTATATTATTATTCATATTACGTTATTATATTATATTATTATATATTATATTATATTATTCATATTACAATCGTCACGATGAATTTTCACAATAAGATAATTTTAAATGAAAATTTAAAATTCAACATTTAAAATTTTCCATTGCTAAAACTTACAGAAATTTTTTAAAGATTTTATCAAATAAATGATTTACCTGTCCATTACCAATGTTTGAACGAATGTTATTGTCAACTTTTGGCATCGCTTGTTCCATCTTAGCCATTTTTGCTATATGTTCAAGCTAATTAGTTCTGAAAATTAAATTAAATGAAATTTAAAATTTCAACGATTGATTGTTATTCATCATCATATCGATTATATTTTCGATCACTAGCAAAAAATCTTAAAATATCAATTTTTTAATCTAATAGGAAAGAAAACATCAAATTATAATTTAAATATTAATTGCAATTTATCTGGGATTATTTTCAACAACTGTATTTCATTACCTATTTCTTATCTTTACTATTCTTATTACTCTTACCTTTACCTTTACTGCTATTCCTATCTTTACTATTCTTATTATTCTTACCTTTACCTTTTCTGCTATTCTTATCTTTACTATTCTTATTATTCTTACCTTTACCTTTTCTGCTATGCTTATCTTTACTATTCTTATTATTCTTACCTTTACCTTTTCTGCTATTCTTATCTTTACTATTCTTATTATTCTTACCTCTTTACCTTTACCTTTACCTTTACCTTTACTGCTATTCTTACCTTTACTGCTACTCTTACCTTTTACTTTCATCAATCATTTGTTATTTAGCAAAAAAGAATTCAATTTAAAATTCAATTGAGAAATGTACAAAAGAATTCGATAACAATGTACTTGAAGTGAATAAAAATCAACAAATAGAAATGTTAAACAAAAATATAAATAAATAAATAAATGAAAAAGGGGAATGGATAATAAATGAAAAATGTAATAAATATTATTTTCAACTAATTATTATATACCTTTTAATAATACGAAATATTATTGAATGACACCTATTCACCTTCTTTTCCAAACCTTTTGTCTTATAATGTTAAATTATAAATTCTTTTAAAATATTTTTACATTTGCAATTATCTTTAACAGAGAAAAGAAATACTAATCAAAACTGCTTTTTTTTTTTCAAAAAATAAAATTTTACAAAATATTCATATAGATTAATTATCTAATTAATTAATTATTAATTATTATTTTATTCCATAATATTCCATACGTTTTTTTAAAATTAAACAATAGCTAATAAAAATATTTATATAGATTATTTAATTAATTAATGTTTATTAATTATTATTTCATTCTATAATAAAGAACGTTTTTTCAAAATTAAACAATAGCCAATAATAAATAATATTGCCTAAATATGGAACGAAATAGCTATTGAATCTGTAAACATAACTGCTTTACATATTTGTTGAAATCATTTAATCAGTATTAGTATGTTAATAATTTTTCATAAATATTGTTAAATATGTTTGTCCAAATATAGTTTCATTCATTTCTATATACTTCAATTGAATTCGATTAAATCTTCAGTCTATCTATAATTATTTGTTATAATATATAATCGATATTATATATAATTAAATAAAACTTCACAAATATTTATTTAACTAATTAAGTCAATTGAGTAAATGTTTATTTGTTTGTTTATTAACTTTCATAAAACTCTATTTTTAATTAGGTTACTTTTTTCACCATTTCAGAAATAAATAGAATATCAATTAATTAGCTTATTTTAGTACGATTAACTTATTTCGGTACTTAAATATCGATATTGATTAAAATAGAATTAATAAATTGGTAACAAATGAAATAATACGAAATAATGAGATATTGTAAAATAATAAAATGAAATTATAAAACAGTTAGAAATTTTTGCAATAATTGTAAACAACGATAACAAATGTAACAATATATACTTAAATATCAAAATAATAACAACTTGGCAAATGAAATTTAAATAATTTAAATAGCTAAGAGGATCAGAAATCAGCGCATTAATCCTTTTTAACAATCATATTTTGATTAGTGATAATTGCGCATTATAAGATATGAATTAATCATTATAATATAAATGCGTACGTTAAGTAATATGTTTACTAGAAATTAACTTAGCATATTCTAATTTATAATATATCATCGATTGATTAACTTATTTAATCTTATTAATTAAATATCTAAATTTATTGCAAAATTTAGGAAATCTTCAAATATTTTACATTATTAATTTTAATACAAATAAAATTACCTTTTGATTTAAATGCAAATAAAATTTTACATATCAAATGATTTAAATATAAAATAAAAGTTTAAATATTCAAATCAAATCGATCGAATCGATCGTAAAAAATACGGTAGAAAATAATTTTTGAATAATCGAAATTTGAATAATCAAAAATTTTTTTAAATAATTTCAAAAATTACCTCTATATAATAAGCTTATAAAAAATTTCATATAATATCAGATAAATTTTTAAAAACAAAGAAAAGAAACATTAGAAATTATCAAAGTTTAATTTAGTCGAATTGAAATTCTTTGTTTTTGTTGACAAACAACATTTTACTACAATAATAAACAATATGTTTATATGGGAAACAAATTTTCAATAGTAAAATATTTAGTAAAATGAAAAAGATTTCAAAAGTTTTATAAACATTAATTTAAATAATAGCAAGATACTATGCGTAAAGTTTTGCAAATATTAATTTAAATAATAATATCCAAACAGTAATAATTGTTTACAACAAATTTTGCAGAAATTTCTTCATCGCCGTAAAATGAGATTTGTAGTGAAAGAAATATTAAATGATAAGGGTGGGAGTTGTTAATCTTCCATGCATACAAATTTATGAAAATTTCAAGTTTTGTTTAAATATTTTACGAATATTTGCCATTAATGCAAATATCAACATTTTTGAGTATTGTAAATTTTTATAGATAATTAATTATTAAAGGTAATTACTGAATTTTTTGTAAACTTTTAAAATTCTTCTAAAACTAAAAATTATTATTTGCTGAGTGATTTTGTTGAAATTAAAATGAAAAATAATTATTTAATGAAATGAATTAATTTTCATCATTAATTTTTCGTTACAAAAAAATCTAAAATTTAATTTCAAATTTAATTATTATAATTAAAATTTGTTTATATGAAATAATTTAACTTATTAGTTACGATTATTTTCTTTATTAAATTGATTATAATTAAAATTTGTTTATCTGAAATAATTAAATTTTTTAATTACAATCATTTTCTTAATTAAATTGAAAGTTTTGTTTTCCGATAATACTTCCAACAACGACGAAAAAAATGAAAAGAACTCGAAGAAAATTTTGTAATTTTCAAATGATATCATCATCCATATTGCCAACCATTTCTTAAAAATATCATTTTGGTAAAGGAAAAAATTCCATTGATAAATTCTATCAATTTTTTTTTGAAATTTCTTTTTCGAGAAAATCAAACAAACAATCATCACAAGTAAAGCTGACAGCTGGTAATTCTCCTTCTTTCCTGTATTTTTATTTTTATCATTAAAATATATGAAATAGAATTTTGTTCAAATTATTTATTTCAAAATTTTCTTTTTGTAAATTGAAAAAAAAAATTGAGGGAAATTTTGAAATTTTTGATATAAATTTTAGTTAACATATATAATTAACAGTGAATATTATTGATGATCATATAATTACCGACATGATTTTTAGTAAAATAATATATTAAATCTTAGGTAAAATATAATTATGAAATTAAAAATTTTTTAAATATGCTAAAAATGGAAAGCATTTAGTGATTAAATAATCCAATTATAGTAAACATAATTAATATATAAAAATGGGAAATTCTGATACGCATAAGAAGAGGACAAGTAATTGTTGCAAATAATTTAATAAAATATATTACAATGATTAAAATGAAATAATTTACAACTGAATATGATTAAAGTGATTAAAGTGGTAAATTGAATTTAAATGAAACTATACGGGAGAATTAAAACTCTAAAATATGATTATTTAATACTACAATGATAAATACTATAAAATGATATGTGAATTTATAATATAATTCGATTGATTAAATATGTTGCAAAAAAAAAAACTTTTTATATTATCAAATTTTGAATAAAACTTATTTTGCAATTTGAAAAATAGGATATTACTAAGAAAATTGTAAATAAAAATTTTTAATTTATTTTAATAATTAATAAAATGAATTAAGAATTTGATAAATAATCATAGTGATACGATGATATATGATAAAAATGATTAAATTCATAATTGATATGAATTTAAATCAAATCATACATTTGAATGTGATAAATAATCATAATCATATGATGATATATGATAAAATTGATTAAATTCATAATTGATATGAATTTAAATCAAATCAAATCATATCATATCATATCATACATTTAAACATTTTGATGTAGAAATTTCGAAATTAAAGAGGACAGCAAAATCATACATATATATCCTTTTACACAATTTTACAAACATTGTAACGTATATAGCCCTGATTTATTCATTGAATTTCTCAGTTATATTATTCACATTAACAAATAATGTCAAAAATGATTGCACTTTCATCACTTTGATGATATTATTTCGATCACATCCTTTTCTGCTGGTTTTTATTGCCATAACATAACGATTAAATTTATTGTAATAATCGCTTCGCTGGTACTATCTCATTTCTTGTTTTCCAAACTGTTGTCCATTTTCCCACTTTGTATTTTTAATCGTATCAATCCAATTAAAAACGGTTTTATTTGTATCTTAATTCATATTAAAACCAGTTAAATTATCAACTTGTAACAACATTGTACACTTCTCTGATACCATATTTATCAATTAATTTAATTTAATTTATAAGAAGATGGCCTCATTTTATTACTACTATTATTATAAGATATGAAAAAATATATTTTAACAAATGTAAATTCTTGTTTTCCTCAAATAACAATTAATTATTTGTTGTTTCTTTTTTATTGTTTTATTTAATTTATTATCTTCCAATTATTTACTGATATAGAAATTAATTATATAATTATAAAAGAATTGATAAGAATTGGATTAATCATTTGATGAATTTGCTTCTTTTGTTTTCATTTTAATTTTCATGAAAATTTCATATTTTTTTTTACTGCTAAAATTTGAAAATCAAAATTTCAAAAATAATTTTAAAACGATTTGATTTCTTTTTTTTCTTACTTTTCATATTTCGAAATATTCAAATTTCTTTCATTCTAATTTGTCATCAAAAATTTTCGTTTAATTCATTTACCTGTACACGAATTATTATTATTGGGTTTTCATAAAAGAAAAAATTAAGAATTTATTTTAGAGTATAAATAAATTTTGTACTTTTATTTCATAATTGACCATTCTTAAATGTTCTTCCGACAAATGTGAATGAACTTATTATTATCTTAATTATCGCAAATGACCCAAATTTAAATAACATTTCAACAGGTCATTTCTCTTTCATATTCTCTCTTCTCTCAATTTGTTATTTTTCGAATTGTTGATACGATTATTGCAATTATGAATTTTAAATTATATCAAATGGCAAATAATTAAAAAGAAAAAGATTGAAGAAAATATTTAAAACAAAACAAATCTAAAGATAATTTTAATAATCAAAAACAGAAGAAATTCATTCTAATGTATTTGATTTAAATGAAGATGACATAAAACCGATACGAAGAGTTTTAGTTAACACAAAATCGGATATTGTACGATAATCGGATTAGAATAAAATTGAAAATAAAAATCAATAACCGATAACAGAGATTAAGAAGATATATTGAATATAATATGAAAATTATAAACTATTTTATCAGTAATTGAAATAAAATCACTCGAATACAATTATCTATCATTAATACGAATAAATTTTTACTTTACTAATAATTAAAATACTTAATGACAAATAATAAATAACAATTATAAAGGTGAAAATGTAAAATAAAAAATTTTTAAATATCCGTAAAGCAATCACAATTTCATGTCTTCACTGATGCCTCATCATCAACCAATGTGTTTCCAACTAGCGTATATCTACAAGACGAAGAAAAGGAAATATTTGTTGGTTTTTGCTGAATCCCGAACCCAAAAA